CCCTGCTCCTTGCCACTGCCCACTCAGGTTTGTCGCTTGGTTGGGAGAAAGGGAAGCTCAGGCAGGACAGGGTTAACGTTGTATCATTAACCATATGTCTCCTTAAAGGTGAGCCAGAAAAAAGGTAATTAGAGCAGTGGTACATCTGGCCCAGCTGTTCCCACCCTTCTGCAGCGTCCTGGGGGCTGCAGATAGTCAGAGCAACCTAACAACTTTACTAAGTGATGGCTGGAATCCAACCAAGACATGGCTCACCCTCCCGGGGTCCACTGTGGCATTGTTGCCCTTCCTTTCTCCCTGCCCGAATTCGCTGTGCTGAGGCACAAATCTGGACATGGGCCACAGGCTTCCTAAAGTTAGAGAGCTGTGGTTTTATAGGGGGTCTCCTAGGTATTTGATTTTCTGCTCAGCATCAGAGACTAACACACCACATCCCTGTGAGGTGACTGGGCAGGCAGGAGGACGTGGCTCTCTTTAGAGAGGGATGGGAACCTTGGCAATATTCCTTTTCAAGGTGGGATAGAGGCTGCGCAGTACAGTATCTGTGATCCTCCAGAGCAAATACTGAGCAGCCTCCTGGAAATCACTGGTTGATGAAGGAGTAAAAACTTCCTGACAGTCTTGCCAAGAGCAAAATTGATCCCGTGAGGCCCTTCATCTTCTATTTCAACAGGGAGGCAGAAAGGGAGGATGAGGTGACAGAGAACTAAATTGAGTTCTTTGCAAAAATGTCCATACTTTTATGTTTGTTTTCCTTATGCTCTGTTGCTTTTGCAAGGCGGATTTATTTTTATTTTTTTTATTTGACACAGAGTAGATACACTGAAAATGTTGCATAAGAAATACTGGAGGATTCCTCACATTTAGCCAGCACAGTTTGCTTGGTAATCTAAATGCAGAACACCTAGAAACTAGCCAAAAATATGTGCAAAGCTGTGAAATGCTGTGCTGTTCCCAGTTTCGCACAACCAGGAAGTGGCGACCTGACTGTAGCCAGTCTTGCAGCTCTCAAACTTAGAAAAAAAAAAAACAAGAGAAATGAAACTCCAGCCACCAACCCGGCGAGCCAGGATTAGACACGCACAGAAAGATGGAGACTTCTGATTGTTATTTCATCTTGCCCAAAGACTCCCGGCTGCCCCCATGCAAACCATCATTGTGTTAGGGCAGTGCCCAACATCAGCAGGTGAAGAGCAGTGACATAAAAAGAGCAGCAGGGGAAATGTGTCATCCAGCCCCCCTTTCCCTGCAATAAGACTCGGGGATTGTTTTGCTCCTTTTCTCCGTGCCCAGCTGCCTCACTTTGCCACCATGTCGCGTGGTCAGGGGAAAAGGGCCCTCATTCAGTGAGCACGGGTGGTGGTGACGTCAGCTGCACTGGGGTGGGTGTGAGGATGCTTGTCACTGGTTAAAATCTGCTGGGGTTGGGGCAACGTGCCTCGCTCGGGTGGTGAAAGCCATAAGCGCAGAGAAATCCAGAAGTGGGACCGAGGGAGCGTTCGAGGCTTGGCTCCGCTCGGCCACAGGCCCACTGGCTCCTCAAAAGTTCAGGTTCTGCCAACTTTGAGTGACACCTTGCCGCCATCCGAAGCAAGTGTGAGCATGGGCATTTGTAAGATTTGTCTGGATACCTGTGAGTGTAAGGGTAGGAAATCATGTGGGTGTCAGTGTAGAAAACACCACCGGTATTTTAACACGTACGTTGTACTGAATCCCCATCCTGCTGTCCCTGTAAACACCATTGTGCTTTTCATCTGCCACATTTGCAGCAGCAGCAGGAGGGAGATTTCCCCCTGAAATGGGATTGCTGACCCAGCGGCC